TGATGGTGATGGTTGATGATGAGGATGATGATGATGATGATGATGATGATGATGATGATGATGATGATGATGATGATGATGATGATGATGATGATGATGATGATGATGATGATGATGACGAGGAGGAGGAGGAGGATGGGGAGGATGGAGGACGGGGAGGGGGCCTCCTCCTCCATGCTGCACTGCAGAAGGTCTCTCGTTGGGGGGGAGGCGTCGCCCCGCCCAGGACCAGGTGAACGACAAGGTCGTCCGAGTGCTGGGACCGCCGCCCGTGCCCCTCTGGCCGTGCGGGGCTGCCAGGGGCGCGCCTGGACCGAAGTGCCCACTCCGTCAAGCAGAGGCGGAGCGTCCTGGCGTGCCTGTGGGCCTACCAAACCATGCTCCAAGAACCTGTTGTGGCTTCCACGAAGTGTTCTCTGAGCAGGTTCTGGCGGGGGCCGTCGTGGGGTCGGTGGTCTAAGAGCATTGTTTTTGTTATTAGAACATTTCTCGGTTCTAAGAGCATGTCGTGGTAGGCCTATAGGAATGCCGGGACGGTCGGTCCCTGCTCAATTCCGGGTTCCTCATTTGGACGCCCGAAATGGGTACGGAAAAAATTTGCACAATGCCCAACAACAAATGCTGTCCCAAGCCAACAGCGGCCGCCGTTGGCGGGCGGCCTCCTGTCTCGAAGGGACAGGTCGCGGCGGCGCGGACAGCGAGTCCGGTTCAAAATGACCAGGAACTGCTGTTGGGCTTCGTACCCTTATGTCGGGCGTGTCCCCCTACAGGGGGATTTTCGACGAAGAAAAAAATACACACCAAAAATACCCTAAAAAGTCAAACAATACTTAAAATATAGTCCCCAGGCTATTTTTTGATTTTTGTTACTATGTTTGGGATTTTTTATTTTTCGTCGAAAATCCCCCTGTAGGGGGACAGGCCCGACTTAACTCTTGGGCACTGTACCCGTTCTTTCCGTACCCTTTCTTTCCGTACCCATTTCGGAGGCCCCCCCCGAGCGTTTTTTTCTGTCGCGGTTTGCCTCCTTGGAGGGCGCCACCACGGGGAGCCCCGGGGGCGTCGGGCACGGCGCGAGGACGAAGGCGCGGTCCCCGGGGGATAGGGGGCCCCGAGGGAGAGGAGAGCGGGAGGGGGGGCTTTGGAGAGGTGGTGAGGCGAGGGGGCTCCTTCCCTGCCTCCTCCTTCCCCACCTCCCCTCCTCGTCATCATCATCAGCAGCAGCAGCATCACCACCACCACCACCATCATCATCATCATCATCATCATCATCATCATCATCATCATCATCATCATCATCATGCTCATCATCATCAGTACCATTGCCATCAGCTACCATCATCATCGTCACCATCACCATCGCCACCATCACCATCGTCATCATCAGCCCCACCATTATCACCACCATCATCATCAACAACATCATCATCAACATCCCTCGTCCTCCTTCCTTCTCCTCCTCCTCATAGCCATCCTAGCCCTTCTCCTCCTGCGCATCCACCTTGCGATCTGGAGGGGGCGAATATTTTGTGTCCCTCAATAGTTCTGAGGGGGTGCAGCTCTGCCCAGGTCACTCTGATTGTCGATGGCGTGCATGGCTGCGGCTGCTGCTGCCCCCTTGTTGGGCCTCTGCAAACTGGTCCCTATGGGCAACGGCAGCCTTGGCTGCATGATACATACGGAGTGCCAGCACACCTAGGTTCGAGGCAGTGGGATGGGGAGGGGGCACAGGAATGGGGGGCACAGGGGAGTCGAGTGGAGGGGAAGGGAGAAGCAGAGGCCACGACGAGGGGTGGCACTTTCTATCCTGGAGACAGGCCTGCTTGTCTCGGCGATTCCCGCCTCGAGTTCGGGCATCGCCCTGGGGCTCCAGCTCGCCGACGCCGCGGGAGGCCCAGGGCCGGGCTCGGCGCAGCTGCGAGGGGGGGGCCCTCTGGCCCATCGGCGGGCGCTGCCGAGAGGCGACGGGGGGCCCGCGGGGATCACCCGCCGCGGCAACGTGCCTCTGGAGCCTTCCCCCGCCCTCAGCCCCCCCCCGCCGTCTCCACCGTTCCTCGGAGGAGGAAAGGGCACCCACGCCGCTGCCCTTCCCTCGTCTTCGCCGTTTTGAGCCTCCCGGGAGGCCCTCGTCGCCACCGCTGGATTCGCTTCGAAATCTTGGTCATAACGCGCCCCGGGAGAGGCCTGGGGAGTAGCGGTTTCGGCACCTTTTGACTTCCCCAGTTCTTCCCGTCCGCTTGTCACCCTCACGCGCTACGCACACACTGGCCGCGCCTGCGCGCGCGGGCGGGCGCAAAGCGTGGGGCCGCGCTGTGCCGCAGCATCACGGCGTGCGGCATGCGGCGCCACCCGCGTGCCGACGAGCGAGGGCAGCGCCGAACTGACGACTGATGAAGCATCGAGCAGGGCAGGCGGACATAGGGGAACAAAAAGTGACATAAACATAAAAACTCGGAGGTCCGCGCGGATTTCTCGGATCGGCGCTGGACCCCCTCCCGGGCGCGCGGAGCGTGCCAGGGGCGGCGCCGGAGGCGCCGCCGCGGGGGTCCCAGCGCCGATCCGAGAAATCCGCGCGGACCTGCGAGTTTTTATGTTTATGCCACTTTTTGTTCCCCTAAGACACTGTGGTCACAGGGACGTGCGCGACAGCAGCAGGGGCCAGGTCGGGGGAGCCCTGCGAGGGTGGGCAGCCTGGGCGGACCAGTGCTGCTTCCAGTGCCACCCCAACGGCGGGCGGCCAAGAGTGCTGACGAAGCGCCTGCAGATTGCTCTGGACCTCGTGATGGGCTGCTCTGGGGAGGCCACCCCATACATCAAGGGCGTAAAAAAACGCCCCTGCCCTGGCGTATGAGGCGCTGTGCGCTGAACCTCCTGCGGGCTGACAGGGTACATCCTGCGTATCGCGCGTGCCGCGCGGCGTCCTGGCGGCTCTCTGGGGAGGCCACCCCAAACAGTCAACCCGAGCAGTAAGGTTATGATGCTCCAACTTACTCTAGCCCTTGACCACCAGGAAAATTTTCGAGCGCCCAAGAAAAGTACCGAGACGCAAGGGTTTTCACGAGCCGCGCCCTGGGAGACACTGTTTCGACACTCTTTTGACACTTCTCTGGGTGCTCGAAATTATTTCTGGGATGCGGTCCTTAAGTAGGACGGGAGCAACATAACACCAAGGATGGGCAACCTTCCCGAGGGTGACCCGATGCCCCTGATGGTAAACCCCCTGGGGATGAGAAAGTTCGGGCTCCAGGGGGGGATGAGACACGTTCTCCCGGCAGGAGGATGATGGGATGGTGATGTTGATGTTGTAGATGATGATGCAGATGATGCTGACGATGATGTTGCTGATGCTGATGCTGGTGCTGGTGCTGGTGCTGATGCTGATGATGATAATGGTAATGGTGATGGTGATGGTGATGGTGGTGGTCATGGTCATGATCATGGTCATGGTCATGGTGATGGGGATGGGGATGGTGATGCTGATGGTGATGGTGATTATGGTGGTGATGATGGTAATGATACTGCTGATGATGCTGATGCTGGTGATGAAGGTGATGCTGCTGGTGATGGTGCTGATGATGATGATGCTGATGATGATGATGATGATGATGATGATGATGATGATGATGATGATGATGATGATGATGATGATGATGGTGATGATGATGCTGCTGCTGGTGTTTATGACGGTGATGATGATAATGATGTTGATGAGTTCGATATCCTTGGCCCGTACTCTAAAGATCTTTGCCACCTGCCTTTGAGATGCGAAGCTGGCCCGCACTCTGGAGATCCGTGTCGGTCCTCGTCAGGAAGCCTCTCTTGCAAACAACTTCCTGACTTGGGAAGGGCTAAGAAAGTGATAATCCCGTAGCCATGCCACGCGTTCGTGACTTGGGAAAGCTGAGAAAGCGAGAATCCCACAGCCCTGCCACACGTTCGTGACTTGCGAAAGCTGAGCTGGCGAGTCCCCCATCGCCATGCCACACGTTTTCGATGATGTTGCTAGTCAACATGAGAAGATAGCACCTTCGATGCGGAACTTCCCCCCGCGTTCGGCCTTGCCGCCCCACTCCCCCGACCAAATCTGGATCGGCCGGGGATAATAAACTCTCAGGTCTTGAAGGGGGGGTACCCTTCATTATCCGGGGGTTGCCCTTGCATCCTTGCCTCCTCGATCCACTCTTGGCCGCTCTCGTTGGCCGCGCCCCCCTCGCAAAGCTTCAAAGTGGGCGTCCAAGGCCCTTGCATCCTGATCGCGCGTCCTTCTGATACGGGTTGACGGTACCTCCCGCGTCGCGATCTCTTCGCAGCGCGGCCCCCCGAAGGCATCGCCCGACCGAGGCTGCACCCTCTGAAGCTCTCCGCTCCCGCCGCCGCCCGCAGGCCCCCACGCGAGCACGCGCACTGCCGCACGCCCTGGCGTCGCGCGGGCACGCCGCGCCCACCCCCTGGCAGTGCCACACGAGGGGACCTCCGTGGCAACGCTTGGGGGGAGGGGCGAGGGGCTTGGCATCGCTCGGACGAGTGCATTTTTTCTCGGCGAGGACCATCGAGGACCATCCTGGACCATCGAGAAAAAGATCACGCACGAAACCGAAGAATGCACGGGAAATGGACGTCCGAGCGACGGCAAGGAGGGGCGAGGGGGGGGATCCGCTCAGGGGCGGAAGCGTCGACCCTCCGTCGCCCCTTGATCGCCGACATGGGGCCCGATGGCGCACCCCCAGCCAGGCACGCGCGGCTTCGCCCTCGGGGGGCCTCGCGCCGATGCGTCGGCGATGCGTTGCCGATTCCAGGACGAGGTCCCCCCCTTTGACCCCTGGGCCGGCCCCGGCCCAACGTTCCTCTCCCTCGCTTTTGCACCGGCGCCCTGGCCGCACGCAGTCTGCTCCTGGCCTCCTTCTTCGGCAGCCACGGATGGGCCCCGGAGGACCTCAGGATTCTACCAGATCCCGCGGAAGAGAACGAACAGCTCGGGTGCGCCAATCTTCTGGTCGCCCAACGCCCATTTCCCACGGGAGCCTTGCAGTCGAAGAAGAAGAAGAAACGCCATAAACATAAAGATTGCTGGCACTCCGCACGGACTTCTTGGATCTGCGGCCTCCCCCCCCACAGCCCCTCCCGTTGGGAGCCGCTTCGCATGCCCCCCCCCTCGCCCCTGGCCTTGCAGCGCCGTTTTTAATACATGTTCCGCGTGCGGATCATGTATTAAAATTGCAAGGACTTAGTTAGTATCAAAAACAACGATAAGTTCGTGCATAAAGTCATTCATACATTGAACATGTATTAAAACATTGCATATATGTTTTAAGCCCACGTATTAAAAGCTGCCCTCTACAGTCAAGACGTTTGGGTAAAAACTGCCTTGGGCTCGAGAGGGGCTGCGATCTTCGGGCCGCGCCCGAGATCTGGGTCGGGCACCTTCTCGCGGCCGCTGCTCGCCGTGGCGAGAAAATCCTTCTGACCTGGCATCGCTCGGACATGTGCATTTTTTTCTCGGCGAGGACCCTCCTGGACCATCGAGCAAAAAAAAAACACGCGCGAAACCGAAACATGCACGGGAGATGGACGTCCGAGCGATGGCGAGTTGATGTCTATATAATTCGGTGTTCCTTTTGGTAACAGGGTGACTGCAGTTTTGAAGAGGCGCTCGTGGAGAAGCGAGGCCGGACATATCTTGAGCCCAACATCCCCCGAACGCAACACGTGCCAATGTTCAGGCCGCAGGGTGCGGGGAGAAATTCAAATTGTTTCCAGTTCGGTCGTTGGTGCTGCATCGTGTTTTCATTCGGCCGTCCCTCCTCACCGCAGGATCCCTCTACGCCGCGGGGCATTTCCAGGACCGCTTCCAGGCCCCGTCCTCGCTGCAGGACGCTCTGAAGTGCTCTGATCGGGGAGGACGGCGGTGCTGCCAGTGAGAGCGCTAAGTGTGATATTGTCGGGAACTTTGCCGCCACATTTGGCGCACCACGCCTCGTCGCGTCACGCTAACCACGTCTCAGTCCCCAGGCATCAATGTCCCGAGACTTCCCAGCCCCCGGCCCCGCGGAGCGGAACGACACGCGATCAGTTCGCCAGGCATAGTATCGCCAGTGCCGCCGCCGCGACACGCCATGCTAAAGTTCCTGACCGTAATGGGGTGATCATGAAGATGCTTTTGCAAGCGGTTGTGCTTATTTCGTTGGCGTATTTGAATGCTGGTCGGCGATGACGGTATTGATGTCCACAAATGTTCGAGGGTTCGGCCGCTAATTGATTAACGATTCCAACGAGGGGGTGGTGGCGATCGCGAGCAGCGCTCGCGGGCCAAATCCGCTTGGGTGAAGAGGAGTGCGACTACAGGCAGAGAAGGACGCACCAGAGTGGGACACCGATAATCGCTCCACTCGTCAAAGATCTCGCCCCTCCCCCCCATGATAACTAGCAGCTGCCTCCTCCTAGAAGATTCGCCAACCTCGCAAGAGACCGCACCCGCACTACCTTCCTTCCGGGGTGCCAGCTTCTTCTGTGCCGCTCTGGTTTTTCCCGCTCTCCTGCCATGCTCCACCACGCGCTTCCGCTCGGCGGCGCCCAGGGTGAAGGCAGAGGGGGTGGGCATTCCCCGGAGCTACCGACGGCTTTTCGAAGGCCCGAGGGCTTCTGAAAAGCCCTGCCGCCTTCTGGGCAGGTGTGCCGCCTCTCACTTCAGGCGGGAAGGAAACACACAGACACAAGTAATCGCCGACTCCCCGGAATATCTGGGAAGTAGGGGGGAAAGACGAAAACCCAGAAAACATTGGGAAATATGGGGAATCCTATTATTTGTGTCTACTTTTTTGTGTGTCCCAGGGATCCTTTATCACTGTCCCCCTCGGCGCGCCGCCGATCGGTTCGAGCAGTCGATCTGGCCTGGCCACCTCGCCCCGGCGCGCCCCATAGGTCTGGACCCCTTCCACGGGACCGGCGTTGCATCCTCGAGCCGTGCTCCGACGGCCCCGAGGCCCAGGAAGGGCCCCAGGAGGCCCAGCATAGCGAAAGTTTCCCAGCACGGTTGCCTCATACAGCGGCGGTTTTGATACATGCTCCGCGTGCGGATCATGTATCAAAAGTGCAGGGATTTAGTATTAAAAACAACGGTGAGTTCATGCATACATTTATTCATAAATCCATCATGTATTAAAAACCCTATATTTTCAAAAATCCCATGTGTTAAAAACTGCCTCATAACCAGAGGGGGTGTCTGAGAGCAGTTGGGGGCCCCTCCAACGCTGTGTTGACCACACCGCTTTTGGTACGCCGGTGGGGCTGCTGGGCCACCGCACGGCTCTGGGCCTCGGGCCGCTCGCTCCGAGGCCGGCTCGGGCGACGGGGCCCGCCGAGGTCCCGGAGCCGTGTGGCGACGGACCCTGCGGGGAGGTCTTCGCCGACTTCGATGTCACTCCGGTCTGTCGCTCCGAGGCGTGGGCGTAGGCGGAGGGGAAGGGGAGGGGAGGGAGGAGGAGGAGGAGGAGGAGGAGGAGGAGGAGGAGGAGGAGGAGGAGGGAGGAGGAGGACGAGGCGGAGGAGAACGAGGCGGAGGGGGAGGCAAGGAGGAGGGGGGGAGGAGGAGGAGGTGGAGGAGGAGGGGAGAGGGTGAGGGGGAGGAGGATCGCCTGGAGGTCAGTTTTCGGAGCCTCGGCAGGCGCTGGATATGGACACATTCGGGCCCCCGGGGGGATATATATTATATATATATATATATATATATATATATATACACATATATATATGTGTATATATATATATGTCTATCCACATCCACCGCCCGCTGGGGCACCAGGGCGTCGGTTCCCATGCGGTGGATATGGATAGGTCCCCGCCGCGCAGTCGCTGGCAGTGGCGGCGCAGGCGTTTCCTCAGAATTCCCTCCATGGCACACCGCATATCTCGAGGAGCTCCAGGCCTCTGCCCAGGGGGGGCCCTGCCACCGCACGGCTTTGGGACACCCAAGAGATGGGCGGAGCCCGTGCCCGGGGGGGCCGCACCCGCCTGCTGCCTCGGCTGGCCGCACCGGCCTGCTCTGCGCGGAACTCTTCCACGCCTCAGCGTTTCTCCCCAAGCGCGGAGGGCGCTTAGCACCGAGGCCACATGCGATTATAGCAGAGTGGTGGGCCGCGCATGACAGCAAACATCGGTCACGTCTCGAGTCGGTATACTGCACCCCACTCCTCCCCCCGCGCGGCCATCCTCGTCTCTCTTGCACGCCGAACAATTCGCCTTCCGGCTGCCCCACATGGCCACACGCTGGAGCTGCCTCTGCCTCGCCTCCGACGGCCTGGTGGCTTCTTGGCCAGGAGGAGGGCGATGAGGAGGAGGAGGGCGAGGAGGAGGAGGGAGAGGAAGGAGGGAGGAGAAGGAGAAGGAGGAGGAGGAGGAGGAGGAGAAGGATGAGGAGGAGAAGGAGGAGGAGGAGGAGGACGACGAGAAGGAGGAGGACGAGGACGAGGACGGGCTGCCTCTGCCTCGCCGCCGACGGGAAAAAACGTGCCCCCGGGGGGCGGGGCCGCCGCAGAGTCTCTCGGCGCCCCACCCGTGCGCGGTGCCCCGGCCCTCGGGCCCTCGGCGGGCGCGGCGCTGCCGGGGCGGCGCCCGGGGCCTCCACGGGAGCGGCGCAGAGCGACGGGGCCGTCTCGGCCAGGATCGGCGCGTGAACTTTATGATGTTCCCACCTATTTTAGCCCCGACCACCAGGAAGCATGTCGAGCGCCCAGAAAAAAAGTACGTACCGAAACTCAAGGGTGTTCACGTGTCGGGCTTTGGGAGAGACTCGTCCGACACTCTTTCGACACTCGTTCGACACTCTTTCGACACTCTTCCGGGTGCTCGAAATTATTTCTGGGATGCTTGTCTTTAAGTAGGATGGGAACAACATAAGTCTCGGCCAGGATTGGCGCGTAATCTTCGAATTCAGTCGGGCCTGTCCCTCTACAGGGCGAGTATTCCAAAATAGTCAAAAAATTGTCTCGGGACTATGTTTGGACTATTTTCTGGCATTCTGGGGGTATTTTCTGGTGTGTTCAATTCTTCTGCCAAGCTTCCCCTGTAGGGGGACAGGCCCGACTTAAACTTCGAAGGAGAAACAGCAGAGACATTGACTCTTGCCGCTCCGCGCGGATTTCTTGGATCTGCGCTGTGCCCCCCTCGCGGCGCGTCCGGCGCCGCCCCCGGCGCGCTCAACGCACCAGGGAGAGGGGTCCGGCGCGGATCCAAGAAATCCGCGCGGAGCGCCAAAAAGGTTATGTTTATGCCGTTCATTCTTCCTCTGCATGGGGGAGCGGGTCCTGGGGGAAAGGGGAGATAGGCATTGAGAGAACGCCCACCCTGACAAGTCGACAGGAAATCTGCATTGGTTCAGCGTTCGAGCGTGCCGCAAATCAACGTGTATCTCGCCAGATACATGCGTTTGTTTTGAACGTCGATTAGCTACCCCACTGGGGTCTACATACTCGGAATGCGGTGCCGTTCGTACGTGGAGTGCCCCTGGCAGCTTTCACTAAAGGACATTTTGCCAGAAGGGTATTCTTTCAATCTTCAAGAAAAAACAGGACGGGAGGCTCTGTTCACGATCTGCGTCCATGGGGCCCTGACCGGGCCCAGGGCCTGGGCCTACACCTCTGCAGGTCCGCGCTGCGAAACGGGCGCGACGCCAGAGATCGGGGCTCCCCAAGGAATGCCAGCGATGCGCGGCGTCTCATCCGTAACAGCCGCTCGCCTGTCAGGAGGGGGGGAAAAAAACGCACAGACACAATTAATCGTCGATCCCCAAGAGAAGATTGGAAAACATGGGAATTGGGCGGGAAGACAAAAACCCAGAAAATATTGGAAAATATTGGGAACTTTTTATTTGTGTGTATTTATTTGTGTGTGTCCCAGGGCCCCTTCAGCCTGATGAGTCGGATCAGTTGGAAGGGCCTGCGCACCTCGGCGGCCCTTCCTGGACGCGGCGGGCCCTGGAGGGGGGCCCAGCGGCTCCACAGTGGCCCAGGACACGTGGACGCCCCGGTACCCGAGACGTGCCTGCCAGCACGGTAGGGGGCCACATGCGAACCCTACCCCTACCCCCCACGATTTCTGAGGGGGAGGGTGGGGTTCACTTCGCCGGGGCGTTCGTCTCCCAGCCGCACGGCGGCGAACCAGCCGGTCCAGCGCGGCTCGGCTTGAGGGTCCATAGGGGGGGCCATTTGCACATGCCGTCGCTGTCCCAGGGACGGGGGGCGCCTCGGACCAGAAGGTTGAGGAGTCGTGGGCGGGGGCGGGGGGGGGAGAGGGAAAAGACAGGGCGGAGAGGGGATGGGGCAAGCTAGGTGCACCATCCATTTCCAGTGCGCTGATTTTTTTCTATCCGCCGTTGGATGTCCCAGCGGACCCGGATCCCCCGAGTGACCCCCTCTTGTGAGGCGGAATCAGAGAGGGGAGCTGTGTACATATGGAGGGGGAGGAGGAGGAGCAGGTTGAGGATGCAGGAGAATGAACCTACAGGCGGCCCGGATTAGTAGGTCGACCCTGCCAGATCAAGGGTACCCTCGTGTCCTGCGTCCTGCGACCCATGCCTCCTGCATTTCTGTGGCAGCGTGGCCCTCGGAAGGCTCTTGTGTCCTCTCGCGTGCCCTCTCCCATGAAGTCCGGCTGTGGAGGGAAGAGGAGGATGAGGAAGACGGAAACCAGGGGAAGGCGGGCGAGGGGAACGCAAGGGGGCGGTAGCGACGAATGCATCGGAGATCCAGCAATTTGGCCCGCGCTGGGGCAAGAGCCCCCTTCTCAACGACTGGAGCAAAGCTCAGGAGGGAAGAAGACACACAGACACAACTAATCGTCGACTCCCTCGGAAATATGAGAACATATGGGAAGTGTGGGGGAAGACAGAAGCCCAGAACATGCGGGAAAATGTGGGGGAGTCCTGTTACGTGTGTCTAGTTATTTGTGTGTCCCAGGGCCCCTTCAAAAGCGCCGATCTCGAAATGGGGGCAACACTGTAGCGGGATCGACGTTCTGAAAGATCGAAAACGTCCCGACTTGAAACAAACAGCTATAACATATTCACTTGGAAACCCTTCGCGGAGTATGAAGCCAGATAGGGGAAAGCAGGGGCCCCGATCGGACAGGCTCCAGGAGAGAGGAGTGTAGTTTTCAGATTGAGCAAATGTGAATGGGTCAGTGGGGCGGGTGTTGATGTAGGAGTGGGAGGGCCAACAGGATGTCGAGGTGCGCCCTCTCACGGCTCCCTGCCGGGCAGGTACGAATTCCCCAAGGACCAGCGCGGCGCTGCCATGGAGCTACTTACAACGGACACCAGAAGCCAGGGTGAAAAAGTGGCGCGTCAGGCGCGGCGCGGCCTTATGGAAGAGGGTGCTGAACGCAAATCTAGACAGGGGAAGGGGGATATAGGATGTGTGAGAAAGTCCCTGCCTCTGGAGCGACCGTCGACGAAGAAGCTAACCAGGTCCATGACCTTTTGATCCAGGCGTGGGACCCTCGCGTAGAATGAAAAGCTCGAGGCGGTAGGCTCCCATCCACGTCGAGGCACTTCTTGCTGCAGAACAGCCTCAACCGTATCACATCCGAGAACTGCTGGAGTCACTTTGCGGTTGTGGCTTCTAGCATGTGTGTGGGGGGGGCTTCGAGGTCAGAGGTTATGCCGCGTCGAACACCAAGAAACGGGGACAGCCATGCCGCAAATGACGAAGGTTCGGCAGCGGCCAGCCGCACCACTTACAAGTTTGCTCAATTCAGAAGACGGCTGTGGGATTGGTGCGCGGGGAGCCCAGCGCCCCGCACAAGTGGGAGAAGCCACCAGCTTGCCAAACGTAAGGTCGCCGGTGGCGTTCACATTTGCATCTTCAACACTTGCACATTCACTACGACTTGCGTGTGTGCATTGATTTGGGGCAACCACGCGCTTCGCTGCGATGCGAATTCAGGTCAAATTTGGGTCATTAACCCCTCCTGCCCGAATCCGGAGCCAGTGCAGGCATTTGCTTTCTCAGCCCTCTCCAGTGCACAGCGTCAATCAGCCACGCGGACGGGACACACTCGGCTCTGTTCAAGTGCGCTGCATTCCCCTCAGCGTTCCTCCTTCTTCATCGCACTGGTAGAACACACCTGCACATTACCTACGAGTACTATACAAATATGTTATAGTTAACCATATGTAAGCAGACATGCATCCATATATACATTTGTACACACATACGTACACACGAGTACACTGTCATATTATATAACTATACTACATACATGCATAGTGGCCTTCGGCCCATCCCCCGACTGTGCCTGGATTGTGCGTCAGATGCTTCTTGGATGCCTATCGGGATATGTTGGAGGCCTCCCGGCAGTTTTTTGGAGGCGGTTTCAGAGTTTCTTGGAGTTTCTAATGTGCATGTCGCAGGCCTCTTGGGGGCCTGCTGGCTGCCTCGGGAATCATCTAGGAGCGGAGGAATCGAAATGTCGGTTCTCGTTCCGCCTCTTGGGGCTCTCTTGGGCTCTGTTGGGGTCGTCTGGAATATCTTGAAACATGATTTTAGGTTCTCGGAGCCCTCTTGTGAAAGTTCTTGGAGCCTCTTGGGACATCTTGGGGCCCCTTGGGCTGTCTTGGGGGCCTATTTGACCGTCTTGGAGCTGTTAGACCGTCTGGCTGTACGAGGTGGTTCTTGCAAACTGCTCGAGGGTTCCAGAGGGCTCGCGCGACACACGCCAGCAATTTCCAGCAATTCTTTGGAAACCGATGGTCTGGGCCCTCAAGAACCTTACAAACTTTGTCCCTTTCAGGACTGCACTATCTTTGGGCACTCCACTACGTGCTAAAGGCACGGTGGCGGATATCTCGAAGACGCTTCCAGCGAACCACCGCGGCCTCCTGTCTTTTTGAAGCGCCCATGCGGCCAAGCGTTGGGCCAAAGTCTGGCCATGCTTTTACAGCGTGTGTTCCCACAGCCGTTGTGGAACCCCTTGGGGGAACACTTGGGAAAGGAAAGGGCAGGATGAGGAGAGGGAGGAGAAGGATGACGAACAGGAGGCCTCTTGAGGCTCCTAGGGGCCTCTGAGGGGCATCTGAGGGCCTCCTGGGGGCCTCTTGAGGCCTCTGTGGGGGACCCCCTTTGGGCGCTTCTGGGCCGCCTTGAAGGTATGCGGGGCCATCTTCGGGGCCTCTTGGGCCGTTTTGGGGCCCTCTCGGGCCGTCTTGCGGGTCTCTCGGGCCCTAAGGCCGTCTTGGAGCGACCTATGGGGCCGCCTGGAAGCGTCGGAAGCCCGAACAGGCGAGAGCGCTAAAACCATTGAAGCACCCAGGGGGAATCAACGATTTTGGCATCCTGGAGGTCCTCATGGAGCGCTCTTTGGGCGTCTTGGGGGTCTTCCGTCTAGAGGGCGTATTCGGCCGTGTCGGGGACAGATTGGATGTCTTGGGGCCGAGGCCATCTTGTCCGTCTTGGAGGCGTCTTGGGACCGTCTTCGAGGCAGTCTTGACCGTTGTGGAATCATATTTTCTGGCCAAGGAGGTCCGGCCGGGTCTTCCCGGGTGGCCAGCGGGTCAAGGCGAAGGTCACTGGGAACCCTCAGAAAGGTTCCGCCTAATCAGAGCAGTGAAACCATTCAACGCCGTGGTCCCCCGTGATAAGCACACGGGGAGGCGAATTCAAGGCGCCTGCGGCGAATCAGCGCCGACACCCGCCGTCTGGAAGCGCCTATGCGGCCGAACGTTTTGGCCAGAGCTCGGCCAGGCTATCGGACTGAGTGTGACCCCAGCCGTTGTGGGAACATCTTGGGGAACACGTGAGGAAGGACGGGGATGTTGACGAGAGGGGAGCTCTCCGGAGCCACCACGGAGGCATCCAGCGTCGAAGATGGCCCCAAGAGGCTCTCAAGAGGTCCCAGAGGCCACCAGGAGAGCTCCAAGATGCCCCCAAGACGCTTACGTGGGCATGCGCAAGCTTCGGAAGCGCATCGGACGCGGACGCGCGAAAGCATACAAATCGCAATCCCCCTCTGGTTTTGCAGTGAGTTTGGCTTCTCGAGGGCTTCCCCGGAGCTCTTGGGGCGATCTTGGGTGCTCTTGGGGTCCCCAGAGGAAACTTGAAAACCAGGAATCCCCTCAAGTAAATGTTATTGTCAAGCTCGACCCCACCCCTCCGTTCCCCCGATTGCGTTCCCGTTTCCCCCATCCCTCGCTGTCCGTTCTTCTTGCTTTCTCTTTTTGTTTCTCTCTCTCTCTCTCTCCCTAAATCTCTCTCTCTCTCTCTTTCCCTCTGTTGCTCTTCGCGTTTTTGCGTCTCGCGTTCCACAGTCTTCTCTTGTCTCCTCATGTCTTTTATGCAAGTTTGTCTCCCCCATCTCTCATCCCAATTTCTCCGTTTCACTCCGCCTCGTCGCCATTTTGGCTCAAAATGTGTTGTTCCACAGTGGAACATATGGATACCGTTTGTCCACGGCTGGCACAGAGGTTACCTTGCGGCATTCTTTCTTGGTGGCCTTCATTGTGGGATTTGGGCCCCCCTATAAGCTCCGCGTCTTTGTGATCTCTGGTGAGCAGGTTCCTTTTCTCAGAGCTGCCCATGTCAAATGAGGATGTGGTGGCTGGTCCTCGTAAGCTTGCGTAGGCTTCCGGGAACCCGGGCAATGCGGAACGGTTCACGATTGGCCAGCAGGCTGCGCTGCAGGTGTGGCAGCGCTGCTCCAGCACACATCAAGCATCGTAGACTCGAGAATCGCAAGACGTATTCGGCCAGCCCCACGTCCGCATGTACGAAGGTCGGCCAAGGCAAGAACGGCAAGGCGGGAGGCAAAGGAGGTGCTGGACAGAACGTGGCCTTCGCCACCATGCAGGCTCAACTTGCTGAGTTGGTTCAGGTACTCGGTCGTGGCCAGCGTCCTGGGGATAAAATGATGGCAAGGCAGGAGAGGCGACGAAGGCTCCATGGGCTAAGGGAGCGCAGGAGCGTAAAGTTGTCAATGCCGCGATCGATCCAGCGAGCGATTCTGGAACGCGATCAAAAACAGCTGTGCAGTTGGCAGAACTTGAGAACTCACTCACGACATTTCCTGCTGGTGGGTATTTCAATAACAGTCGCAAGCCTTTCAAATGCAAAGTTGCACGGCTGCGGAGGGCCCTGAATTCTCTGCATAATCCCACTTCTGCTCATCGTCGTGTTGCTCAAGAGCTGGCGCGTACTCGCACGGTGATCACGAGGCAGGAGTCGGAATTGGAAGAGAAGAGGAAGCAGCTGGCTCCAGCAGTGCATTGCGGAGAAGAGACAGCGGCTCGGGCCCAAGCGTTTGGAGATGGTTGAGCCCCAGAAGGAGTTCGAGAGAACACCGGCGGCACTTTCGCCTGATGCTGCTGCGGCAGCAGCAGAAGGTGCAGTGCCCAATGTTGTGCCCGCGGTCGAGCTTCCCAACCTCGAGGAGCTTAAGCAGAAGCACGCAGGTCTGCCTAAGTTCCTTGGCAGCGTGGCTTGGTAGGAGACGCTCGCGGCGAAGCGCGTCAAGGCTACGTCGCATGATACTGCTGACGCTGGTGATGGACCCGATGATGTCCACATGCCAGATGCAGCTGGCAAATATGGAGAATCTGCACGTGGTCGACACTAACGCGAGGTCGAGAAGCTCGATGAAGAACAGCTGCGTGTCCTACGCGAAGCCGGGGACTTAGGAATTTCAGGCGAAGATGCGAGAGCCCAACGTCAAGCGGAAGAAGTGTTCCTGATAATCGAGGTCAGCCGCGGCAGCCGAGGCGGCGGGATTCGCCAGAACCCCGCGACCCGCTCCGCCCCCAGCATCGCTCACCGGGCCAGCCCCGCAGCGTCGTGGCGGAGGCTGACGTCTGCGCGTCGGGGGCGCAGGCCCGCCTCGCGCCCCGCGCAGCGCGGCGCAGAGCGGGGCCGCCGGCAGTGCTCTGGGCAGCGGATGCGGAGTTGCTGGGCATGGTAAACGATTGCCCCAGTGCCCCCCCCGATTCGCAAGTTTTCGACCAGGGCCGACGATGCCGAGGCCACCCGCAGACATGCTGCCAGTCATGACATTCAAACCTGTAACTCGAATTGAGGGAAGAAGACGATCTAGAAACGCCTGTTGCGATCATCAGCTTTGGTCGCAATTGCGCAGGGCATCGGACGCGTAGAATCCAATCTTGAAGCTCTGAACACCTGGGCTGGAAGCCGAGGTTGGTCACTGTTAGCGTTGCCAGCTTTGCCGTCAGCTGGCGCGCTGCCAACGGCGGGAGTCGCCACTTCTGTGCGCTCGCAGCGTGGACTGCTCGCTCGAGCCACATTGTCGATGCAGGTTGCCCCCCGCGAAGCAGCGCGTGATCCTGGGGCCCCCCGGGTGGCCC